GGTGCTCTTTGCAACTGAGCTACACATGCTCAGTGGCCTTTTGTGGGTGAGGGCTTGATTCCATTCCTCTTAAAAGGAACAACTTTCAGCTGCCAGTTTTACTATTAAAAAAGGCAAACTTGGCTATCTCCATCAGGTAATTCAAACAGCAAATTGGACATAGCTAGTGGATTAGTGGGGGTGATTGTGGAGAAAAATGGGGTGTGCGGTGGGGAAGAGAGGAATATATGTGATTAGGCTAGGAGGAGACAGCTTACAAAGACATTTAATGACAAATAATTTCTGTGGAACTGGAGTGGTACCTTTTCAACTGTAAGTTCATTTTTCCTTGCAAGTAATACATCTGCTATGGAAAAATTCCTGTCTTGCGGTTAGTTTATAGAGGCTTCTGCTGCTATTGCTTCATTATTTCAAGTTGTGGATGACTTTGCTCTGAAGTCAGAAGAATCCAGCTGTGGGGGTTTGTTCTGTCTAGCAAGTTTCAACCTTAACTTTGTGTCGTGGTTTAACCCCAGCTGGCAACTGAGCAGCACACAGCTGCTCACTCGCTCCCCCCTGGTGGGATGGGGGAGAGAATTGGAAGAGTAAAAGCGAGAAAACTCGTGGGTTGAGATAAAGACAGTTTAATAGGTAAAACAAAAGCCATACATGCAAGCAAAGCAAACCAAGGAATCGATTCGCTACTTCCCATCGGCAGGCAGGTGTTCAGCCATCTCCAGGAAAGCAGGGCGCCGTCACTGCCAACACATTTCCCCCGCCGCCCCCTTTCCTCCTTCTTCCCCCAGCTTTATATGCTGAGCGTCATATGGTATGGGATATCCCTTTGGTCAGTTGGGGTCAGCTGTCCCGGCTGTGTCCCATTCCAACTTCTTGTGCACCCCCAGCCTCCTCGCTGGTGGGGTGGCATGAGAGGCAGAAAAGGCCTTGACTCTGTGAGCACTGCTCAGCAGTAATGAAAACATCCCTGTGTTATCAACACTGTTTTCAGCACAAATCCAAAGCAGAGCCCCATCCTGGCTACTATGATGAAAATTTACTCTATCCGAGCCAAAGCCAGCACACCTTGCTTTTTTTTTTAAGCTGATTTTTTAGTAAAATTAATTTTTGTAAGCTATAATGCCCTACAGTTAAGGAATGTAGAAAGGAATGATATTTTCTGTAACTGTAAGTTATTTTCTACCTCTTTGAGTGCTTGATATGAAAAAAAATATAAAGAGGAATAGCTTTTGGTTGTAATTTGTATTACTCTGAGCTGTTGCCATTTTAGTCTTCTGGAATACATGGCTGCTAACTGTTTCACAAGTTTCTTTTGATGTGAGAAGACTAAATAGGCCAAATTTTTGGCATCTTTCTCTAGAAATTTTCAGTTGTTTGTCTTCAGGATTAGCATTTATAGTGAGCAAGTCCCATGATGCCACATGCTCTGTAATTACCTTTGGCCTTTTGGTTAACCATATCTTGGTTAAGCATATCGATAGGTGCTTATTACAAGTAGGCTGGCTAGCAGTTTCTCCTCTTCACTGCACAAAAAGGTCATTTCTATTCCTAGACTTGAAAACAAGGTAAAAACTTGGCTAGTAAGACTTAGTGGAAGAATTTTTCTTTTTCTCCTCTTAGCTGAATTTTGCAGCTTTACTTCCTCACTTGGCAGCATTGTGGAAAATAATACCTTTACCTTAGTCTTTGGAGTAAGATAAACTTGACAGTATAACTAGGCAAGCAGATTTGATGCCATTACTCTGCACTTTGGAAATCTTTTGAACAAGAGTCATCAACAGTAAGGCTTTATCAGAGACATGAGAAAGGCAGTGATGGCTAGCAATCTCATTTCTTTCTCTGCATTCAGGCATATGGGATACAGATTTCTCTGCGTAAGAAGTACTTTTGTTGTTTTCTTCTGAACCTAATGAGGTTACGATGTGAAATTTGGTGTGCATAGGCCAGAAAAAATGTAGGTGTGTGAGATTCTGCAGTCTTGTTTTTTAGTAGACTACTGTAATCTGTGTGAACATGAACCTCCTCAGGAACGACTGGATGTCCAGGAGACCTAGATCTCTATTCTCCTGGTTTGCTTATCTTATATTAAGGGAAGATGAATTGCCGGCTTTTTGCTGCTGATTTTGCACCTCTTTTGGCATGTGATAAGTGCATTGTCAACCAACCACAGCTTTTTGGTGTCGTCTTTTTTAAGTGATCTTCTATTTACAGCCTAGTCATTCAGGTACTGTGGAATGTGTTTTCTGGCCACTTACAGATGGAAACACCTGAAAACTACATCCATTACATGGAAAAAAAAACAACACACCAAAACCAAAAACGTGCAAGTGAGTGCAAGATTGCTTGCTACCATAACTGAAGGAATCTATGTGGAGTGCCTTTCAGCCTTACCGCACAATCTTGTAATTGCTAGCTATCAGCTCTTGGCCTTTGTAGAAATTGATTACCACCGAGTACATTTTCGCTAGCATACTGCAGGATGGCTGCCTCATGCCCAAGTGGCAAATGTTAATGTTACTGGGTGGAAAAAATTGTGCATCTGAAGGTCTCGGGGATATACCTTAGTGTGGTCCCTTTGGATTCAGACTGTAAAAGCAGTGGGATCACAAGAGAATAAAGCATAGAGAGAAAGATGCTTGAGAAAATGCTTCAGTTCCAGGGTTAGTGCAGACTTGGATTGCTGCCAAAATGAACTCCCAGGCTGTAACGCTGAGGACTTTATTGTATGTATAGCTGTAAAGCCTATCCACCAGCGCTGATGTATTTTAATGTTGATTGCTTGCTAGATGTATTTGTTTCTGCTTTTTAGAAGGGTAATTTAAAGCTAATATACAAACCTAGCTCAATAGACTATTGATCAGGTTAGCAGTAGTTGACTGCTATGTATAAAGGCATAAAAAATTCCTGCCTTTATGCTACACTGCCAGAAACAGCAACCTGATTTATCCCTTAATAGTAATTAAGAATTTTATGTCTAGCCTTAACTAAACAATGAATGCTGATTAAAACCATTCTACCAAGCTGGGAATGATTTAATGTGATATAATCATCCTTTTGTTCATCATTGTTGCTAGCTTCCACATGACTGCAGTGAGTGCTGGTTTCATCAGCAGAAAATAATGTGTAATGCTTATGTCTGGAATCCCACAAGTGAATTCATAACTTGATTTTTACAACTGCTTTTCAAGCATTGCCGACATGGTGGTTCTTTTGTAGTGATATAGATGCTCCACCTACATGTTCAAAAACTTTCTAAACCTACATTTAGTAGAGCTGTGTACCCTCTGGGAATCTTTTGTTAATATAAAAGAATCCTAGGAAACTAAAACCTTTGGTTGTGCAGATCAAGTTGAGACACATTTGTGTCTAACCTTGTTGCCTTTGCTGACTATTGCTAGGTTTTTAGATAGCTGAATAAAATATTTGAGTTGACTGACAATGTGAACATTTAGATCAGATGCTAAGAATGACTCTGTACTAAATGAGGTCTCTGCTGTGTTCCTCATTTAGCGTAGGAAAAATTTTGGGGAAATTAGTACAGTGGAGAACCCTTCAGAGTAAGACAAATCTTGACTGCTAATAAACATTACAGGAAGAAAATATCTGTCAGATAAGGCTTTTCTAGGTGCACCTCAGTATGCACACGTGTTGTTGCATTCGCAAAGGCATGCAGTCATCTTAATTATGCTCCCCAGTTCCTGTAGGTGAACGTACACCATATTTCCATGAGTGCAAAAGGGGCGTAGTATAAGTGATAAGCATTTCCTCGTTGCCCTCATCAGGGAATCATTTTCTTACTTAATCCAACAGGAGATGAGTTTAAAGGCCATAAAGGTAGTTGGTGAGGACTGGACTGTCGCTTCAGTCATCTGGCACCACTCAACACTTCAACCTTTAGACTGAGGTTCTTGTGGCTAGTCTTTTAATTGCTTTTAAAGATTTGCACACTGACCCTGTCCCTTTGCTCACCACAGTTGTCTTTTGACTTCAGGGTAGGGCTTATGTTAAGTATTGCTAGAATATGAAGCATGTTACTACACAGATGATGGAGTGTGTCTTACTAATCAGGACATGTCTCCAATACAAGTTAAACTGTTTATTTCCATGTGGTCCTGAATCAAGGTCTTATTTTCATCAACTTCTGCTGCAAATTACTTTAAATGTGGGCATCCTAGTTTGTTGGACAGGTGGCTAAAATCCTCTCAGTTTTGAATATTATGAAGGACAGGTCCTATAGACAGTGGGTTTTAAATTGATATATATTCATTATATGACTAGGTTACAGAGTCAAATTAAGTGAAATTAAAATGTCTTGGAAAAAATTGTTCCTAAATTTAGAAAACATTCACAATTCAATCTGTTGCAGTTTTTCCTCGTACAGAAATGTTAGAAGAAACCAAATTGGACAAGGGCCAATGAAGTACTCTCCTTATAATTTAGTTATGCAATATTGTAAGCATGCCATGCTAACATAACACTTCAGTAACTGAAGAGAAGCTTGTCTAAGACTAAAAATCAGAAATATTTTCAGAAGTCCAGTTCTTTAGCCAAAAGGTGCCATTCCAGAAGAATTAGTTTAACTTCTGTATGACGAAAATGTCTTAATTTTCACACTTTACCATCTATATGACCCTAAGACTTACTCAGTATTGGAGAATATTGTTATTAGATTTTTGTTGTACATCTGCATTCCTGTGCATATTGTATTGTGTTTTTCACATTGTGTCTAAGCATCTGATGAAAGTACTTGTGCAAGGAGATTACAGTGACGTTGTCTTGACTTAGTGGTATTAAAAAAGACTGGATGTTAATAATTTCACCTTTTTTTTTTTTTTTTCTTTCCCCACTTCTTAAAACTCCTGGTTGCCTATTATGCTTCATTTCTGAAGTTTGTAATCCATCTGACTAGGTGAATAAGTGCATTGATGAAAAAGTAGATACTACCAAGATTCTTGACTTGTGAGCTATATTTAACAGTCATTTGCAATTATTTATAGGTGCTGTTGGTAAGCAGTAGCCGATACCCAGATCAGTGGATCGTACCGGGTGGAGGAATGGAACCAGAAGAAGAGCCAGGTGGAGCAGCCGTCAGAGAGGTGTATGAAGAGGTAACAAAAACAAAACAAAAAAGTCCAGCTTCTTTCTGCTGCTGCTATCTTCAGATGGGAATGGAGGAAAGAGGGAACTCCACCTCCTTGATCCAGGATTTGACTGAGACTTCTGTGGTTGTGAAATTCAAAGAACTGCAGTTCTGTGTGTTAGAACTGGGGTATGGTGTGGTGAGGTGAACTAATTAGCTTGCTTCCCAGCACGCTTTCATTTCATAGCTAAATTTCTGTCTGCTTTTATAAACACTTACTGGAAGTGGAACTGTGACTTTATGCCAAATGACATATTATAGTAGTGTAGCATTTCTTTGTTTGTGCAGAGAATGTTTGACTCGCAGTGCTTCTAGAACAGACTGAAGGTGAACTAACTATTAATGTGTAGCTACATAAGAAAGAGAAATAAACAGACCTTTGAGGAGATTCCAAACTAAACGGATTAGAAACTGATGTATCTGAGCAGTTGAGAATTCAACAATAGAAAAGCCTTGTTAAGTACGTTTAAGGCTGTTTATCTATAAAGAAAGCACCATAGGTATAGTCTGCCTTCCTATCTCTGCCCCTACCTGTAGGTAAAATGGAGCTTTAAGTCTTGATGAATTTTAATGCAGTTTCCCACTCTAGTATAGTACTTAAATTTCAAATTCAAAATTCTTTTTTTTAACTTGCAATTTATTTTTCCTAGGCAAACTGTTAAAATATTAAATGTTACTTGAATATCTACCAGCCAGAGCTGTAAGCCAAATAAAACTTCAATAAAAATCAGTCACTTGATTTCACTAGAAATTATGCAATGCATAAGTGACCAGAGATCAACTCTTAATTATTTATATGGTACTTCTTAAATAGAAGGTATAAGGTTTTGCAGAAAGTGGATGCATCCTGGCACATGAGTGAACTACAGGATTTCTGCTAGTCTTAAACAGTTTTCTCATCCCGGTTTGACTACTACTATTCACAAAACACACTAATATTGTTGCTAATTAGTATGCATAATGATCTTTATATTAGCTGTGCTATCTAGTGGTTTAGCTTGCTTACCCTTAAGGCTGGTTCTGCTGGGTTGTAGAGGCTTGGGAACTTGATGTAAATGCAACTTGCACCAACTGCTGCTTATTTGGAATCAAAATGAGATCTTCTGTGAACTGTGATTCAGTGACCCTCCTCCCCTCTTACATGGGGAACAGCCTAGTTCAGTATTCAATGCTCTTAGCAGCTTTTGGGCAAGGTTCAAGCATAAATAAGCCTCACTGATGCAAAGTTATTCCAGACTTTCTGTCTGTGTCCAGTTTTGCTGGGGGAGCCAATTTCGAGCTGCACAAGACACTCAATAAGTGCTTGTGTATTTGTAAAAGTAAAGGAGGCAGCCACAAATTAGTCCATTTGAAAGGAGCAAAGATTTAGGATTCTAGGAATGACTCACCAAAGATTTAGGCTTCTAGGCAGGAGTAGCACCTCTGGGGAAAGGCCTGGCACTTCCCACTGTCACGAGTTGATGGGTGGGATTAAAAAGCACAGGACCACTGGTTCAGTGTTCTCGTGGACACTGGTAGTTTTACTCGCTGATCAGACCTGAGGCACAGTCCATGATGAGGGATAGTAAAATCTCATCTCCATGTCAAACTAGAGCTAACTGAACTGTAGTCATGTTTGGTTTTTTTCTTTGGTGGTGAAGAATGGATCATCTTAGGACGAGAGGAAATGGGCTCAAGCTGTGCCAGGGGAGGTTTAGGTTGGAAATTAGGAAAAATTTCTTTACGGAAAGGGTGGTCAAGAATTGGAACAGGCTGCCCAGAGAGGTGGTGGAGTCACCATCCCTGGAAGTGTTCAAAAAACGGGTAGATGTGGCACTTCAGGACATGGTTTAGTCTAGTCTACCCTTGATTGGCTTAGAGTAGACTTGGTAGTGTAGGTTAATGGTTGGACTGGATGATCTTAAAGGTCTTTTCCAACCTAAACAATTCTATGATTCTATTCTATGATCTTGAAAAGGGACCTGTCTGCAGTTAGCATGTTATCAAAGTTGCTGTGGGGGTTTGACCAACTATTGAAAGCTGCCCGAGTGGTCTGGCTTCCCAGCTTGCAGGGAATGCAGTGCTACATAGAAAGCTCTCGGGCTGACTTTGTAGCAAAGTAGTATAGCAGTGAGAGAAGTTGTGACCTGGGGGCTGATAACTAGTTTTCTACTACATATGGTTCTGCCCTGAGAATATTCTGAGGGACACTTCCAAGTCCTGGCTTTGCTGGAGCTCTGCTTGCAAATTTCTATAGTGGGTGCAGTGCATGGGCCATGAGTGTTGGAGAAGGTGAAGCTGGGATAGCTAAGGAATGGGTGTAGAATAGTACTGGATGATACATCATATATTATAAACTTTGTACAAATTTCTCTGTTAATGTAAAAGCCCAGTCAGAGCGTGCACACTGCCGAGACACTGTGAACTTCTCTGGTTCATACAGGTACCAAAATGTTAGTTACTTCTGAATGATCTTTTTTCCTTTGGATATGCTTTCACATCAGCAGGCACCAAAAAAAAAAAAAAGAGCAAATCAGAAAGTGAAAAATAGATAGGAGCACCTGCTGTTACGATGTGAAGCAGTCCTTCCACAGCTCAGTTTCATTCTTGCCCTCATTTCTTTCTCAGGGCAAAGCAAAAGGCTTTCCCATACATTATGGTGGTTCTGGTCAAGAATTGCAGTACTCAGCAACCCTAGGCTGTTTTGAATCCTGAAGACAGAGGCCAGCCTCATACACTCATACACAGAGGTCTCTTTTGATCGTGTTTTTTCAAGTGCTATCACACAAAGTGAATCTTAAAACCAGCTACATGTAAACGTAATTTAGGCAAATGCTTTGATTACCTTTCAGCGTATTGTATGGTAAGCTGTTCTGTAGCTGCTTAGAATATATGTGTTGTCATCAAAATTTCAGTAAGAGGCTTCATGATAGAAAAGCTGAATGTTGTAAATGATTCAAAATGCCAACATTATCAGTGTTTATATACCATGAGAGAAACTGTTTCTAAAGGTAGAGAACCCAGCAAATACAAAGCTCAGGTGGTGCTAGCACAGGGGCATTTTGCTCAGAAGTTAAACCAGTTTTCACTCACTGTTACTACAGTGGCTATGCTTGGTTTTTTGTTGGTTTTTTTTTTTTTGTAAATGATGTTCTGGAGTAAGACACAAACTGTCAGCCTTGTTCAGCTCTGAGCTGTGCTTGCAAATGCATAAAGATTTTTCAAAGGCTAGGAGCTTTAATAACCAAAAATCATTTGGTGACACTTATTATACAGCTTCAGAGTTTCTGGGGTTTGATAGCTTGTGTAGCTGATGAACGTTAAAAGCTCATGCCTTAAAGTAAAATATTCTTAAGCTACAGGCTGAATCTTGTGTGCTGCCGTGACACTGCAAAGCACCATTTTTAAAGAAAAGTCAAGAGTGGTATTCAGACTTGAGCCATGGAAATTCATACTAACCTTTCTAGAGATGGATGTCCTTTCTATTTTTATACTAAGGTCAATGTCACCTGGCAAGCTGGTTACAGTACAGTGAAGTGAACTGTTAAGAGTTTTGTGAATGAATAAACTTCAAAGGAGGTACACTGTGGCACTGGTTTGAACTGTGTTTCTTCAGTATTGGGTCATGCACAAACTAAGCATTGGTTTCCATTAATTTGTAAAAAGGAGAAATTGGTAGTGAGAGTTATAATCTCATTTATTAATAGTAGGAGTGCTAATAGTTCACAATATGATAGCCCACTGGCTCTAAATATCCCTCACTTCCCCACCAACAGTAGTGTATTTTAAATCTTTGTTTTAAAATGCAAGCAAAGATCTTTGTAGTCAAATCTATATGCACTGCAGTTGTTCCATAGTCTGCCTGTGTGCATGACTTATCCTTAAGTTCTGTTCATGTTAGTGATTTGGGGTTTTACCTCTACTAAATGTTTTGTATGAATTTCATTTGTCTGCCATTTCATAGGTTACAGTAATTAAGATAACCTGGCAAGTCCATTGGGTACAACCAGTTTTTACAAACCTGAAAGTAGAATACCAAAATGAAGTTACAGTATAAAGCAATCCCGGAAAGGTATTAAACCTCGTCTAAATGAGGAGCTACTCTGTTAATGAATTTGGAGCTTTGTCTTTAATTGGGTAGCATGAAAGATGGAAATAAAAGTTGTTTGCACATACGGTGTTTGAAGAGAAGTGTGACACAAATAATAAGGGTGGCAAGCCGATGATGTCCAGCCTCTTAAATAGAAGGAGCACCCTCCCACTCCCTTTTCTTCCTCCATGTCACCAAAAACTGAGACTGTTGCTTGTTTGTGCTTAGTAGTATATTGAAATGCCTACCAAAAAATATGCAATTCCTCCCAGACCTTTGTGAATATAGCTTCTGAGAAGAAGAGGCTGATCCTGAAGGTTAATCTGCTGCAACAGTGAAAATGGCAGTAATATTACCTAAGACCTCTCGTAGGAAATAGAGGAATCTGCTCCAGTGAGCGTCTAATATTTGAAAAATGATTGAGTGTTACAGACTAGGACCAGGTAGATAATTTTAAAAAATAAATCAATACAACACCCTTTCAGCTGAAAGATTGAGGCAGGTACAGTGAAACCCTTTGGGTTTTATAAGAGTATGCAAGAAAGGGCAGGAATAGTCTTGCACTCTGCCTTCAGGAGTGTAGCCATTAAAGTACTATCCAACAGATCCCACAGTTAAAAATAACTCAAATCTTTCAGATTTTAAGCAACTTTCTGCCCTGGTAGACTGTTAGCCTAAAAATTAAACTGCAGCATGACTCTTGCTCCACCTACAGGAAACAAAAGGCAAGTCTGACTGCACATCGAGATTGCAGTATGCCTGGAGCTGCCAACAGTGGATGACCTCCAGGCCAGAAAGATTATGCAGTGGACAGTTTTCCCTTTTGTGGTTGGATTTAGACTAATACTAAAATATATGCATAAATTCAGATTTGAGACCTTATCTACAAACTACTCATAGACTTCCTTAGGGAATCATTCTGGGTGGGGGGGTGTAGCACTTAATTCAACAGCTTGTCTGTCAAAAGAAATGCTCGTTTTTTCAGTCTAAAGTTTGGAAGAAAAGCCTGTTTTACACACTTATGGTAGCCTATAGGATTCTGTTTACTTAAAGAACTGTATTTTAACAGCCGTGGGTACATAAAGGCCAAAGGAAGAAAGATATTTTTATTAGAGACAAAATGGTTCAAAGTCTAGAACTTAACCAGTGTGTTGGATTAGAAGTTTACAATTGGGAAAGTGGGAACTTTATTTGACTTTCTGGGAAAAAGCCGAAGCATTTCTTGGTCCTCTAGCACTTAATTTTGACACATTTTGAAGGAACTACATTGATAAGAACTTGGAGGAAATATTTTTGTTAGCAAAAGCACTTAAATCACTGTCAAGTTGATGGTACTTCTTAAACTATGAAGATGATTCAGTTGAATATATTACTTTCAGAGAAAAATCATGAGACTCCAATTACCACCTTTTTATACTTTTGGGTATAGAGGTTTTCAAAAGATGCTACTGTCTGCAGGAATGATGCTGCATTTTGGAAGCGCATATGTTTGCATAGAGAGTAACTAGACATCAGTGACAGTAATCACATTTACATAGCAACATCTGGTTACACAAAAGCTTCACTATAAGCTTTGGGGAAATTTTACACTTAATGTAATGGAGTGCTTCTAATTGTTTCATTCAGAATTACTCAGCTAAGAGTATTTGTTTAAACCACTGATTTGCTTGGAGGGACAACAGAGAAGCTGTTAAGTAAATTCTACTTAGAGTAACATTGATGATAAATTCACATTGGGACTATGGGCTACTAATAAGTTGAAAAAACTTCTCGATGAAAGCTATTCAGTACTGGTAAACTTACCTGGTTGTGGTCTTTGTGCTGTGTGTTGGGTATCAGTAAATTGTCAGACTCCCACTTAGCAGTTCAGAGAAGCCCTCCTGCATCTATTGATGGTGAGTTTCTTTGTCTTTCAACAGTCCTGTTGCCATAGACCTGCCTTTAAGAAATATCTGTAATGTAAATAAGGCCTTGGCTAAGACTTTTTAAAGAGTTATAAAATCTTGAAAGTTTTTTGGCTTAGGGGGCATGTTGGTTGGGGTTTGGGTGGTGGGCAGCTGTTTGGGTTTGGGGTGAGGGGGAGTAATTTTTTTCCTCCCTCTGGTGGAGCATAGTCCCCTTTAGAGCAGTTCCTTGGTACTTGGAAGAGCTTTTCTTAATGTTTGAGAAACCTGCAGAGTCTGTACTGGGCTCTCTGTCATGCTATTAAGCCATATCTTTAAGGATATTAAATAACCTTGTTCTTTGCTGCAACTTTAGGGAAGAACTGAAGAAATTACAAAACTTGTGCAGCTAAAACTGCACACTTGCACACCTGATGTATTAAAAAGAGACTAATCCCACAGATTCATGTTGTTATTTTTGATGGAATAGGATGATGGGAAATTGCCTTTTTTAGTTGTTCAGTTTGTCACAAAGTAGAAATCTTAAAGGATACAGTGATTCCTAGATAGTGCTGCATGAGAAGAAAGGCAAAAATTGGGAACAGCAGCATAAGCTTGTAGCCTTTTAGGATCTGCTTGTCTGTCTTTAAAAGATACTGTAATGTTAAGGAAATCGGGACTGATGAGTAAAACTTAAACATTTATTCAGCATGTGTTCCTTTAGACTAATAAATGCTTTTTCATTACCCAATGTAAAGCAGTCTTTAGTGCCTGTTGTGGCATAGCTGACCCTTTCAGACCAAAATAAGCTCTGTTACTTTCATAATTAATGTGCTGCCTAATCACTTATCCAGCAGGTCCAGTTATGTATTTCAGCTTCATGAGCTCTAACAGGTATCTCTGTCATCACAGCAGACAACCAGAAGAATATTGTATGTGGTTTTGCATTAACTTTAGGTCTAGCTCTTGCTCTAAATAAGCAAAATGCTTGTTGAGTTGCCTGGGCTGCGATCAGACTTCCTTCATCAAAACTGCCTAATAAATAACACCAGCCATCTGCTTTTTTTAAAAAGACACACACACAAAACATTCACTTGTAAGATCTTGATTAGACTTATTGCTAAAGCCTGCCCAGTTGTCTGTCAGAGTTGCACATTAAAATGTAATTAAGATCCATATGGTCCTTTATAAAAAGACATAAGACATCAGTAACTTTCTTTGGTTAAAGCTGGAAACAAAGACTGAAGGCTAGAAAATGTCACTGAGAAGCTGAGAACACTGAGAAGCCCTATTTTAAATATCGGTTATACAAGAAGATGAAAAAAACCTAAATATGGCTTTGTCTACCAGTAGACTACATATGCTTTTATGTCTCGGGCATATGGACTGAGATTTGTTTAGAATAAATGGATGATCGTAAACTACTTCTGTTGGAAGAGGCATTATATATTACTTTTGGAAAAACAAACCCCAGAGTCTTGTTAGAATATAATGACCACCTTAACTGTATTGATAAAAATTACTAAGCACAGGCTGATACATGCAGGGGTTGTTTTAAGAAGTTGGAGTAAAATTCTGAATTTAAAGCCCTTTGTAACATTACTAACTAGAAAAAGAATTAAAAACTGTAGAGAATTGGGGATGTAAATTTGGTTTTAAGTTTACATGCCAAAAGCTACACTTTTATATGAAAACTAGTGTACATGAAGTCATGCTGCAAGATCCACCCAGTAACCTACAGTTTAATTTGTTGTTGTGTTTTGAAGACTTGGACTTAAGTTTCTGTGTAAAATAGCAATGGAGTTTTAATGATTCCTTCTCTAGATTTATTATACTACTTTAAATTATCTCTTGTCCTATCTACTTCCTCGGATTATTTCAGTATTTGATGTCATTTGTCTCTTTAATGAAATACAGTACACAAAGAACATGGGAAGTAAACCAGTATTTTGGTCTGGATGGAAAACCTGAATGATTTATGCTTTCTTTGATCTACTCATTAGGACAACAACCTTTTGTGCTCTAATACTCTTAAGTACTCTAAAACTAGAAACTCCAGAAGCAATGCAGCACTGTCTAATTAAAACTCATGTCAAAACACTTGCTTAAGTAACCCTAATAAGGAGGAGTATGCTGATGTAGGAGGCTGGTACTGATATTTTAGGTTTTGAAGTTAAAAAGCACGTTAACACTTCTTCTGTTTGTTTTGTAGGCTGGAGTAAAGGGAAAGCTAGGCAGACTGCTTGGGATATTTGAGGTGAGATATTTCTTTTACCTTTTAAAACCAATGTTCATTTTTGTTGGGTTTTTTTTTTTGTGAGAGTTGATAAACTACAACATCAGACTTCACTTCTTAAGTATTAGCTACCTATAATTTTGCAATGCTACTGGAAATGCTACATTAGACAGGTGATTTCCTTTAGTTGTTACATGATGTGTGAAGATTTGAATAGGAAGATTTCAAAGTACTTGGAACTTTCCTGGAAAGATTAAATTAGTACCTGGACAACAGCTAGAATTAAAAAAAAAAAAGTGAAACCAACATTGATAGATCTAGAATTTCTGAAATATCACACATGCCTTTTGGGGGGCCCTATTTTGACTTTTCCTCTCTGATTAGATTTTGCTGAAGTAACTTGTCAAACACCTAAATTGATAGGTCTGTATATGAAGTATCTCATTATGGCTTTGAATCACTAAGCAGGCTTGGGATAACAGATAAACATAGCCTTTAGCAATACTATGTAGTTCAAAACTTGTATTTCGTAGTGTAAACATCAGACTCTGAACTACTGTGACAGCACAAGGATGCATGCTAGATGTAACTCTGTTTTAGTGTTGGCATTGCCCACTTCTGCTTAGGTTCCAGACAGGAGTAGACTGTAGAAATGTAGGTGTGAGTCTTCAGATCGTAATACATCCAGTGTTATTATGTTGTGCTGTATGATGGGTGAGAGTGGAAGTCCCTTAGTCTAGCAGTTAGGTATGAATCTTCACAGCTTAATTATAAAACCAACTTTCAGAGGCAGTGTATTCCTGATAGGGATTTCCTGTGTGAAATACTTCTTAGTCGTGTATGACTAGTTGATACAGTGCTAAAGGTGTTCCCATTGTGAAGTATGGAAACCATGACAAAATTAGAGTTCCTGTGTGTAGTCAGTAGCACTCACTCTTTTTCTGATTTGTTTTGGGTTTATGATGCACCTGGATGGTCCTACACATTAAAAACTTGTGTTTTAACTCGGCTGGTTAGTCTACAGGAGTATTCTGTATTTCCCAGCTCAGACAAAAAAAAGATGGGATACCTATCATCTTGTTGCCTTAAAACAGGGGCTGCAGGGGATGATGATTCTTTGGTAATTCAGCTGTATGTTCTTCTCAAGCCATCTACCACCATCTAGACAGAGGAGATAAAAAAAATCTGTGTTGAGTGGCACTTTCCTAGGTTACTTCTAACTCAAATCAAGGCCCTACTTCAGTTTCACAACACGGCCCCACAAACACTTGTTAATACCATTGAGGGGGCCACACGTTGTGACCTGGGGATGGAACTAAGAGAAGATGGAAATTATACTGCTGCTGAGTCCTCGTATTCTAGAACTACAGCCAGAAGGGGTACATGTTACAGATGTATTTACTCCATTTAATAGTGATATTGACAAAGAACTGTCTTGGAGTACTTCTGTTTCCTAGTAAAGCACAACAGTTTAAAACTATATTAAGCTTGTAGTGAAACAGAGTTAAGTAGGAGGGGTTATTGGCACAAGGATAAAACCATCTGTAAGGGGAGCTAGGGCATAGCATCTCTTGGTTCTTAATATAGTTGTAATTGTAGATGGTCCTGGGTTTTCTAGGAGCTCAGTTCTTTTCCAAGGGGCAGCATGGTTTGATTAGTCGGGCAGCACCTTCAACAGCGTGCCGCTAGCCTGCTTTGGAGCTAGCAGGGAGTAGTGTCTACACAGACCTCACGTGGACTGGCTGCGGCATAGCGACCCTGCCCTGAGCAGACTACCTCCGTCCGTCTCTGTATTTGACTTGCCTTGTTCAAAAAGTGTGTGCTTTTTAAATAGGTGGTTAGTGCTGCGAACATGGCAAACCCATCAAGTGAACAGATGGTAATGATTTTTGCATTTGTCATGATTGCAAACATAGGCTATTTAATTTGTCTCACTTACTGAGTGAAACTTTATAGCCAGCATTGCATAGATGATCTGGCCACATGATGCAGTGGGTTCCATCTTGCAAAGGTTTTTTGAATAACCTTTCATCTACGAACATGAGTTGTGGAAACAGTTTTAGCAAATGCGCTCTACTGTGGTAACTTGTAACATACGTAAAAGATAAGTAATGGGCAGTACTAGTGGACAACTGCTAATATTAAAATGGATGACCGAGAACATAGTTTGGTCCCAACTTCATGATCTTCAAATTTGCTTTGTTTTGGGTTTTTGGTGTGTGGTTTGTTGGTCATCTGTGTGTCCGTCCGTTCCACCCCCCCCCCCCCCCCACTACAA